GGCCTCCTTCGCCCGCGGGCGCGCGCGCCGCCGCACCTGAAGAGCCGCGGGCGGGCGGCACGCTTTGCGAAGGGGCCCCGGGGCGCACAGGTAAAAATCCCACCGGCCGTCTGGGCGCAGGTGGTTTGGGGAGCTTCCTCTTCCAACCCCCTTGCTCGCCTTCGGGGAGGGGTTTACCCCGCCCCCTACCCTGGACCTGGACGGGGGTGGTCGCGAGGGGTTGGAGCGTCCAAGATGGCCCAAGATGGCTCCAAGAGGGCCTCGGAGAGGCCAAGGGACCCTGAGACACACAAATAAAAATAGGCACAAAGCCCAGGATTCCCCAGATTTCTCCCTATTCTTTCGAGGCTTCCATCTTCCCCGCCCCTCATTTCCTATATTTCCACAGACATATTCTCAGGAGCCGACGATTCGTTGTCTGTGTGTGTTTACCCCTCCTGGCTTGGGGCCGCCCGCGAGCATGCGCTAACCGAACCCGCGCCTGCAACCAAGCAGGCAGAAACTGTTTGGGGCCGCGGCTGCGCGCGCTGGCAGCCTGACCAGCAGCAACTGGGGTGACCTTCTACCCCCCGCGGGAGGAGAAGGGACTTCGGAAGAGATGCAAGCGGGCGGTTGCGCGGACACCTGCGCGTGAGATGCCCGCGGCGGGACGAGGACGGCGAGGAGAGGGAGGAGGAAGGCGAGCAGGAGCAGAAGGCGGAGGAGACAAGCGAGGGGGAGGAGACGGAAGAAGGAGGAGGGGGGGAACGACGAGGAGAAGAAGAGGAGGCTGTGGACGCTGAGGGGCACTTCGTGGGCCCTCTTTGGACGTCTTGACAGGCTCGTGCGCCCCTTAGGGGGCGTGCTCGAACACCCTTGGGGTGTCGTGGGACACTCCAACAGCTCTTTGTGCTCTCGTTTGGGGATTCTTTCAGCCTAACCTGGCCGCTTGCCGTATCTAGCATCGCCACCGTTATCACCATCCCTGTCGGCACGACAATCCGCACTCTCAGCACCGTCACACAACCACCACCGTCACACCCTGCATCGTGTCATCGTCATCTTCGCCCGCAGCCCGCGCAACCAGTGTCGTCATCACCACCATTGCCATCGCTGTAATCATCTCCACACTCGCCATTATCATCATACACATGCGTACAAGTCCTACAATCCTTGATTACCGCTGACATCGGCCCCAAGGCGTTGCCCACGGTTCTCCGCCAGGAACTGCAGCGGGTAAGTTCAATTCCAAGCCACTGTCTGTGATTTGTTAAGCCCGTCTCCCGCATAGCAAAATCGATGAAAGCCAAGTGCGCCCGTTCTGTGAGAGGCAGCACCTAAGAATCTGGAGTCCGACACGTCCGAGCCCCGAAGCTGGCACAGGGGAACCGCACGCGCGCACGGCGGGGAAAAGGATGATGCCCAGAGACTGCAGACGTCAATCACTCCACGGCAAGAGCGCGCTGTCGGCTGAATTGAAAGCCTTTACGTAGTTGATCAGCCAGTACGCCTCCGACAGGTCGCTGCCGGCGTCGGAGACATAGTCCGAACAGCCCTGGGGACCAGGCGGGTGGACGCCCGCTCTCGCAAACTTCACCCCGGCCCACGCGCCACAGAAGTCCTGATTGATCACGAGCTTATGGTTGGCGAAGTGCTCGCGTGGACACACGGTTCGAAGAAGAAAAAACGCCATAGGCACATGCTTTTGGCGCTCCGCGCGGATTTCTTGGATCCGCGCTGGACCCCCTGGCGGCGCCTCTGGCGCCGCCCCTGGCGCGCTCCGCGCGCCAGGGAGGGGGGTCCAGGGCGGATCCAAGAAATCCGCGCGGAGCGCATAAAGCTTATGTTTGTGGCGTTTTTTCTTCTCCGAATGGTGCCTGGACCAATGCGGAACGACACGTAGGGCGCCGGCCAGGTGGAAACCCTGGGCTTGCCGAGCCTGACATCCTCGGGAATGTCGGCCCTGTTCCACATCCACACCTGGATAGCGTCCTGGGACCAGAGCGTGGCGTAGACACCACCGCCAGCCTTGTTGAACTGTTCGCCACCTGCATCGCTGGGCACCACCCCTGGCCCATTGGCTCCGCCGGTGACGCCACAGCCTGTGCCTCCGTTGCCCGCGTTGCAGTCTCCGCCGCTGGAGATGCCGGGGGCAGCCACACGGCACCCGGCGGAGGTGTGCAGAGTCGTGTAGGTGTTGCTGCCGCTGACTGTCTCCAGGGTGTCGATCTCACCGCTGCTCGGCCAGTTCGGCCCGTAGCTCCACCACGCAGGCCAAACACCAGGCCCCGTCGGCATGTGCTCGATGTCGATCAAGAACAGGCCCGTGGTGAACGTGAGCTTGGACTCCAAACGAATCGACTGCACCGGCATGCTCTTCCCAGTGCCCGCGCCCATGTAGATACCTTTTCCCTTTGCGCCATCCTGCTGATAGATACCAGCTGCGACAGCCTGGTCGTAAGGCAGATACTGGACAAATCCCGACGTAGGATCAGGAAGTGTAAAGAAATCCCAGCACGATAGAAAAGTCGTCCCGAAACAACTTAGAATCTCTGATAAATTATCGTCGTACCTCTGCACGCCAGTAGCATCATGAGTCGGCACCTTCGGAGATGTCGGAGCAGGCCCTGGATTGCTGATTTTTAGAGAGGCGAGCATTCCAGAAAGAACAGGTAGTAATACCAGGGCAAGCCCGCATAATTCTGACATCGATACAACCACCGACGTGCTCATATTTAACAACAGTGCCTTCGCGAATTTGGGCCAATATTGCTGCGGATGTCACATCCTGTTTTATTTATACACTCCGCCATTACTTTTCTTACGATGCTGTTTTCCACGAAGAAGCGTTTTTTTAGCACGCCTCACCGTGGGCTCTTTAGTTCCCCACATCCAAAGTGGGGTTCTTGTTTTCTCTGGACACCCCGCGCAGGAACAGGAACCCACCATCATCATCATCATCATCACTCATTCCTCATTCACTCACTCACTCATCATCCCTCACACACTGACTCATTCACTCACTCACTCACTCACTCACTCACTCACTCACTCACTGACTCATCAGCACTCACATATGATGATGATGATGATGATGATGATGATGATGATGATGATGATGATGATGATGATGATGATGATGATGATGATGATGATGATGATGATGATGATGATGATGATGATGCTGATGATGATGATGATGATGATGATGATGATGATGATGATGTGTGCGCGTGAGAGAGTGTGATGTTCATCATCACCAGTCAGTCAGTCACTCACTCACTCACTCACTCACTCGCCTTGGGCCTCGTCTGTGAGTGAATTGCGAGGAAGTCTCAAGCGGGAGCCCCCTCCCTATGGGGCCCGCGGATCATGTTACTAATCCGAGCGGGTCATCCAATTCCTGTAACCGTCGCCACTTTTGGGCTCTCGCGCTGCCAGAACGCCATTCCCCGGCCACATCTGTGAGTGAATTGCGAGGAAGTCTCAAGCGGGAGCCCCCTCCCTATGGGGCCCGCGGATCATGTTACTAATCCGAGCGGGTCATCCAATTCCTGCAACTGTCGCCACTTTTGGGCTCTCGCGCTGCCAGAACGCTATTCCCAGACCACATCTGTGAGTGAATTGCGAGGAAGTCTGAAGCGGGAGCTCCCTCCCTATGGGGCCCGCGGCTCATGTTACTAATCCGAGCGGGTCATCCAATTCCTGTAACTGTCGCCACTTTTGGGCTCTCGCGCTGCAAGAACGCCATTCCCAGGCCACACTTTGAATGCCCGGAGCCAACTGTAGGCCACTTCGTGTTCTTCGTGCTCCCAGAACACCATTCCTGGGCCACATTTTGAATGCCCGGAGCCAACTGTAAGCCACTTCGTGTTCTTCGCGTTCCCAGAACACCACTCCCGGGCCACTTTCTGAATGTCCGGAGCCAAAACAGGAGGGCGAGGTCGGGGGCAACGTAGGGAGCGGGAGGAGGGCCCGCGCCAGGGCGAGAAGAAAGATACGCAGAAGAGACAGCCAGGACGCCTCACCAACCACGAGGACGACGGTGAGGGCTTTTTCCAGATTCGCCCAGAGGATTCTCATGTGGGGTCCTTCCGTCGGAGTAATTTTCTCTGAAAACGATACTACTTGACGCAAGTGCACGTATTTCTCAATATTTTGAACACCCCCTTACGAGAGGAACGCAGTCTCTTACATTTGAGCGCACCCTCTTGAGGGTGGCCATTTCTTTAGCAAATTTGCGGGCACGTCCTACCGAAGGTGTGCCACCTATTGCTTATCCACTTGATCCTGCCAGACCTGCCGAACTGCCACCCTCATCTCTCCCAAGGCTCCCCAGTATACTGGGTCATCCTGGGGCTTCCTGTGGACATCGTGTCACCTCCTGGGGAGGAGGGAGGAGGAGGAGGAGGAGGAGGAAGAGGAGGAGGAGGAGGAGGAGGACGAGGAGGAGGAGGAAAAGGAGGAGAAGGAGGAGAAAAAGGAGGAGGAGCAGAAGTAGGGGCCTTCTTGGCGCCTCTTGGGGCCTCCTGAAGCATCCTGGGAATCTGGGAAGCTCCTCTGATTTCCTGGAAGTCTACTGCGGCCTCCTCGAGCATCCTGCAGGCGGGGGCTCCTGGGAGCCTCCTGTGGCGCATGAACCCCCTCGTCTCCTGGATGTCCATGGAGGTCCATGTAGCATATTTTCGGGGATGGACAGACCCCCCTTTAGTAAAACGTGATTTAGTGAAAACGACCTCGGGCCCAAACCTGGCGGACGCAAGCCTGGAAAATGACGGCCGCGGCGCCCTCTCGAGAACCGAAAACGGACAATTCACTAATCGACGTGTCAGGGTAGGAGGTCTGTCCACCCCGATATTCGGAGGTTCTTGGAGGTTCTTGGGCCTCCCTGAAACTTCACGAGGCGAGGTTTCTCGTCCCTGGGGCATCCTCGGGTTCGGGTGAAGTCGGGCGTGTCCCCCTACAGGGGGAATTTTCGACGAAAAATCAAAAGTACCCAAAAAATACTCCAAAATTGTCAAAAATACTAAAAAAATCGTCCCCTGACTATTTTTTGACTATCTTTGAATATCCCTCCTATAGAGGGACAGGCCCGGCTTAAGGTCAGGGCCTGCCGAGCTCGCCACTGCGGCCGACTGGCCGAGCGACCGAAGGGCGCACAGGCTGGAGGGCAGCAGAGCCGTCCCGACCCGGAGGGTATCCGGAGGCTACTGGGCGCCTATCGGGCTGCGAGGCTCCAGAAGAGAGGGCCTCCTTTGGATCCGCGGTCTTCCCCCCACTGCCCGTATTTTCCCAGATTTTCGGGGGAATCGACGATGAATTGTGTCTGTGTGTGTTTTGTCCCTCCTGAAATGCTGCTGACTGGCTGCGTGACCGAAGGGCGCACCGGCTGGAGGGCAGAAGAGCTGTCCTGACCCGGAGGGTATCCGGAGGCTACCGGGCGCCTTTCTGGCTGCGGTGCGAGAGGGTCGCATTTCGGCGGTGGACAAACCTCCATCTAGTAGACCTCCCCTTAGTGAAAACGGCCTGGGACCGAAACCGACGGCCTGGGAAAACGACCTGGACCCGCAAAAGTGACGGCCGCGACGCCCTCTGGCGAACCGAGAACGGCCAATTCCTTAATCGACGTGTCAGGGTAGGAGGTCTGTCCACCCCCGATCATTTGGATCCGCGTAAGATTACGCCAGGCCTGTCCCTCCACAGGAGGAAAATTCCCAAATAGTCCAAAAATAGTCTATGGACGATTTTGGGGGTATTTTTGGACTCTGTCTGGGCATCTTTGGAGCATCTTTCATTTTTCGCCCAAAATCCGCCTGCAGGGGGACATGCCCGACCTAAGCGGAAGACGCCGTTCCGCTGGACTCCCGAAGGGCCTAAATCCGCCGACCTGGCGCGTGAGTTCGGAAAGGAGCCCCAGAGGAGCCCCTCGAGAGGAGCCATGTCGTCAGCAGAGCACGGTGCGCACGGGCTCGCCTCTGCACCGCCATGGGGCGGGCCGGGGGGGGGGGAGGGCGCCTCGCGTCGAGGCAGCCGGTACAGTCGATTTGCCCTGGTGAGGCGGAGGGACGGGCGCCTAGCCTCGCGATGCCACAATTTGTCATTGCACCGGCCTTGCAGACGTGCTGCAGCGGATCTCGGCGCGGACTTCTGCGTGAGTGCGTGCCCGAAACGGTGGAGCGGAATACGAAGTGAATTTCGCGCGCGGATTCTTTTTGGTCTTCACTCCTGGCGGACAAAACGATCCGCACGAAATTCACCTCGAAATCCAGAACGAGATTCTCCAGGACACTCCGGGCCCACCCTATCGTTTTCCGAACGACACCCGCTCTGCGAAGTGGGCGCCACGAGACTTGTTTTATTTTATACCCGGCACCCAGAAGTCCCGACCCTTTCCCCAGGGCTGGTTCTTCATGCAGATTTGTTTTGTTTAACGGTCCTGGGGCCGAGTAAGAGCCGCCAGAAGCCGAAGACTGCCGAAGACCTCGCGGCCTGCTTCCCTCCCGACGCGGGCCTGCCTGGGTGCCGGAGTGGCCGTACCGACGCCGGGGCGCGGCGGCATGGCCGAGGAATCTCCCGAGAGGGGGCGGCGCTGCCAGGGCCTCTGCTGGGCACGTGTTTATTCGCGGCCGTGATGAGCGTCATGGAGGAGGAGGAGGAGGAGGAGGAGGAGGAGGAGGAGGAGGAGGAGGAGCAGGAGCAGCATAGCGTAACGGCCCGCCCCCGCCGTCCGTGTGGCTCCGGCACCGCAGTGCCTGTGCGCATGCAAGCATGCACCTCAAGGAGCAGCACAGTAGGCACCGCCGCAGCCGCGTGCACCACATCGCCTACGTAGTGTGCAGCGCAGACGTGCACCACGACGCTTTTGTTCCTTGGCACCCTCCTTCGAGCTTTGTTCTGTGCTGGCGTCTGCTGCCACTGTGCTGCATCTACCTTGCAGAATAATGAGGGCTACAACACTCTACTCCTACCGCCTCCAGAGCCAAAACGTAACAAAACTGTCCCAAATGTCTATCGCACTGCATGCACCGATGCATGCTGCACGCACGCATCACGGTGCTCACGTGCACCACGGCGCCTGCGTGCACCGAACCAGCCGCTTTCGCCGCAGCGGCGGGGCACACCGCGTAGCCTGCCGTGCACCACGGCGCCTGCGTACACCCCCGCCCCTGCGTTGACTACACTTCTGTGGTGCGAAACAAACCCTTGGAGGGGCCTAAGCGTCCCGCGGCCCGACGGGAGAGGCGGGCAAAGCGGTGCCTGCAAGCACGCACGGTGCGGGCGAACCGCTGCGAGAGCACAGCAACCCTTCTGTCGGCACCCGTGGTAACTTGCGAGCACCGCGACGACGGCAACGACGACTACGACGACGATCGCGACGATTGCTCGGACTGCGACGACCGCGATTGCCCCGACGACGGTCACAACGACGACCACACGCCGACGACGACTATTACTACTACCAAGACGGATACGACGACCACGACGATAACGATGACGACGACGACGACGACGACGACGACGACAATCACAGCAACGATCACCACGACCACAAGACGCCCACGACGACGAGTACGACAACACCCCGTCGCCCTCCACCCTCCCTCCTCTCCTTCTTTTCCTCCTCCTCCTGATACCGCTGGTACTGCTACAAATGTTGACACTACTTCGGCCATCAATACCACTACAACAACCATAAGACAACGAACGGGAACGGCCGACTGTGGCCCACAGAGAAGCATGGACAGTGAACCATGAAGGCACCGAGTGGGAACGGCCGACTGCAGCCCATGGCCATGGGGACACCAAAAGGTACCGATACCGCTGCTCCCTGGATCTCTCCCAGGGTGAGCTCTGACCAACATTTCGAGGCGAATCCAGCCGTGGCGGAGGCAAGGGCAGTGGTGTCAGCACCTTTTCCTCAATCAGCGGCCGCAAGCGAGCATGCAGCGGTCGAGCGGCGGCGGGGGTCGCGCTGGGGCAACGAGGCACGCAAGCAGAGGAGCGCGATACCCGTGAGTCCACACGGAGTGCTCGGTCTCTCCGTCTGGGATTGCCCCGTCAAGACTCGGCCTCTCCTGGCCGGTGGCGCCGGGGGCGCGGGGGCCACACTCAGACCATGCAGGGCATCGCGTGCGCGCCTCAGAGGGCGGGCGGCGAGAGCCTCTGAGCGCACGGGGGCACCACACGCAGGGAGCCCACAAAAGCCCCAGCCACAGGGGGCCAGACTTGCGCCGCCCACTGCGGCCCACGGGGCGCCACAGACACGGAGACCTCTTGGGGGGAGGCACCGGCCAGGGGGCACCGAGCGGGAACGGCCGACTGGCGCACACCAGAACCACAGGGCACAAACCTGGGGGCACCGAACAGGAACGGCCGACTGCGGCCCACTGGGATCTGCAAGGCGCCAGCCACGGTGGAGGACAGAAAAAACACCCTCACAATGAGCATCCCGGCAAGCGAAGCCGTCTGATAAACGCACCCAAGGAAGGAATCGAACAGGCAAGGCGGTGTAGTAAACGACCAGGGTCGTGTAGTAAGCACCAATGATGGAGTTCGGGGTGGATTTCCCTCCGCCGACATAGGGCACCGAGCGGGATCGGCCGACTGTGGCAAAGGAATGAAAAGGGCATTGAGCATAAACTCTTGGAACTCCGCGCAGATTTCTGGAATCGGCACTGGCTCCCCTTCGCGCGCGAAGAGCTCCAGGGGCGGCGCCGGAGGCGTCGCCAGGCGGGTCCGGCGCCGATCCAATAAATCTGCGCAGAGCTCCCAGAGTTCATGCCTGTGCGGGTGCTCCTTCCTCGATGCAAATCCCATTCTCGGCGGCGACGAATAGGGGCGAGTAGCCCAGGGGCGGGCACCACACGTATTCGGCCCGTCAGCCTTGTCGAAGACATAGGTCATCGGCACCCCTGGATACATGGATTGCTCCCCCCTGAGCTATTCGCCCCTATCGTCGCCTCCAACTCCTCGGTGCAAAGCCAATTCCTTAGAAGACAAAAACGGAGCCTGGCGTGCAGGCACTCTGTGGGGAACACAAACTGTTGCTGGCGCGCCGAGATGGAGTGCAGCAACGATGTGTGCGATACCCAACACCGACTGGTGTCCAATCTATAGAAGGCGAAATATCCACCCCCATGATAACCACCCCGACACGCGAAGCCATTTACTAAACGCCCCCACTGAAGGAATCGAACAGGGCAGGGCTGTTTAGTAAATGCCCAAGGCCGTTTAGCAAACGCCAATTATCGGGTCCAGGTGGTTCGTCCTCCCCTGAATATAGACGGCGGTTTCTGGGGGCCGACGATGCCCGCCACCAGACGGACCACGCTGCGGCTTGAAGTCGGCAGCGAGTCCTATCCAAAACGGACGCGAAGCGGTGGAAGCCACAGAGTCGGCACCGATGCCAACTTCGGGGGTCACCTCCACTGGGGGGAAGATGATCCTCGATGTTCGCGTGGAGGCGGTAACCTTCAGGCTACTTTAGAGGCCTGATGACTACCACCATCACCAAGATCGAAGGTCGTTTTCCGTCGGCGGGGGCGACCGCCGACAGCGGTGCTGGAGACAATGTCTGGGCTTCCGGGAAGGTTGTACGGCAGGTCGAGAGAACTGTGCGCGAGCACCGATCCTGGTCAGGCCCACTCTGGGCCGAGGATCGGTGCACGTGCCCTCCATGGCCAGGCCAGAGCCCACGTACGACGGTCCTGGGCCAAAGTTGGGCCTGGCCGGCCCCAGCGTGCTCTGCAATTGCCTGCGCACCGCCGCCCGACACGATGTGGTCCTCTCGGGGTCGCCGCCGCCCCACGCGCCCTTGGCACCTCACGGGGTTGACCATCACCTTGCCGTCGATGGCGCAGCGCATCTCGTCGGGGCAGTCCACCACCGACCTGCCGGCCCCGCGCTCAGAGCCCCACACCCCCAGCCTCCACCGGGCCCTCCTCGGCATCGGGCGGCCACGTGCGAACCCTGCCCCTGCAGTGGCAGATCTCTGAAGCGCCAGCTGGGGCTCAGGACTCCCAGGGTGCCTGGAGCCAGGCAACCGCCCGGCGGGGGTGCCCGATGCTCCCAGGCGCCGAGTGCACCCGCAAGGGGTATGGCTCGCAACTGGTCGCAGACCCCTCGTGATCCCGATGTGCCCGTGGGTCGGGACCCACGACGCAGCCAGCACTGCGGGAAAAAGAGCGCACGGGCACGGCACATCCTCGGACGCCCTTGGGCGGCCTCTCCGCCGGCGGCGGGCTCCCCCCCTCCCTGCCCCTCCCCTCCCCCTGCGCCAACCAGCCCCGAGCTCTTACCCCCCCCCCAGGATTGGCAGGCCCAGCGCGATGACAACCTCGGGGATGCGCCCGCAGAGGCTGGGCGAAGGCCCACGAGGCCGCCGCCGAGACAGGACAGGGAGATGCCAGTCACAGAGGTAGGGGTCCAGCCATCTGACGCTGTACTCGTTTTTTCAGCGCGGCACCAGAGGCCCCGATCCCTTCCCCGGGGAACACTTTTTCGGAAAAACAGAAAGACCAGAAAAACAAGTCGGAGCCTCGGTTCGTCATAAAACGTGTCTCTGACAACCTTGCCTGGGAACCTTGGAACCTTGGAAATTCTGGAACACATCATGATCATGACCTCTTGGTCCTCTGAACCTCTGCCCGTGACCCACAGCATCGTGTGGGGGGTCCCCTTTGGGGCGCATGACCTTCACACCTTAGATCAACACACACACACACCACTTTTAGGTTTCGCGGCCCTGCGCGCGGCGACAGGGCGGAGGTCGTACAGCAGCGAACGCGCGCGCGCGACAAGGAACGCCCAAGCCCTCAGAGATTGCCCAGGGTCCCGCAAGGCCAGCCGCCAGAAGCCTTCGGGCGTGGATGACAGGGGAAGGCGGTGGAAGGACGAGGCTGGGTGCCATAAGCCATCCTGGACTGGATGGCGGGGGAGCGAGTAAGTGAAGGGGCCCAAGGACACACAAAAATACACACACACACACACAGAGAAAAAAACATTCCCCATATTTCCCCATATTTTCTGGGTTTCTGTCTTCCCCCCCACTTCCCATATTTTCCCATGTTTCCTGGGAATCGAGGATTAATTGAGTCTGTGTGTTTCTTTTCCTCCTGAGTCAAGACCTACCTGGAAGACCCCCAAGGGCAGGGAGGCCGCGAGCCCACGGCGCACGCGTGCCGAGGCCGGCCGGAGCCAGCAGAAAGGCACAATTTTGCGGAGGAGCAGAAGGAGGCCACCGAGGCCTGGCAGCAGGCGGCGGGCACGAAACTAGGGGACCACTTGCGAACCCTACCCCTACCCCCCACGATTTCTAAGGGGGAGGGTGGGGTTCACTTTATTCAGGAGCTCCCGAGCGAAGTGAACCCCACCCTCCCCCTCAGAAATCGTGGGGGGTAGGGGTAGGGTTCGCAAGTGGCCCCCTAGAAACGCAGAGGTCGACGGCAGCCGCGCCGCGGCAGCCTGGCGAGTCGGTCGACGCGCCGGAAACGGCGGCGGCCGAGAAGGACGACGAGGACCACGACGACGACGACGACGACGACGACGACGACGACGACGACGACGACGACGACGACGACGACGGCGACGGCGACGACGACGACGACGACGACGACGACGACGACGTCGTCATCGTCATCGTCGTCGTCATCGTCATCATCGTCGTCGTCGTCGAGGCCAGAAAGGCACGGAGCGGCACCCTCCCCCACGGAGGGGCCCCAGGAGGGGGCGGAGGCCAGCCAGGGGCTGCGAGGCGAGGGGACGCCTCGTACTGGGCAGAAGGCGGGGGGCCAGAGAGGGGGGGCGCGCCGGAGGCGGTGGCCCGCAGGGGGCCAGCAGGGGAAGGGCAGAGGGGGGCCAGAGAGAGCAAGGCGCGCGGGAAGGAACGAAGGGAGCGAGGCGCGCAGATGGAGCAGCCACGCGGTTACTGGGCACCTTCTCAGGGGGGGTGGAGGGCTCAGGGTGAGATCCAGATGGGCTTCTGCACCACGAACATCAATCCGCCTTGCGACTCACCCTTTGCAGGCCCCCGCCTCGAAAACCCATCGAGGCGGCACTTCAGACTTCACCCTTTGCCCTCCACCCGAGGGCAAAAGTGCTCGGCGGTTGCCGCGCCGCGCGCCCCGATTAGCACCTCGACCACGGCGCCTGGGCCAAGGCCGCTGTCTCGAGCGGCCTTGGCCCGGGGGCGCCGCCCAGGCCGCGCCCAGGCCCGGGGGCGCCGCCCTCGCTGGAGGGCGCCCGGGCCGAGGCGGCCTCCGCAGCGGGAGGCCCCCCCCGCCCACAGCCGAGGAGGCAGGAGAGAGGCGAGGGAAGCCTCCGGCTCCAGAGCCGAGCGCGGTGCGCAGGCGAAGGGAGCGTGGCCAGGGCCACGGGCCCACCAGTGTGATCGGAGACTGCCCACGTGCCCACAGCCGCCCTCCTCCGGCGGGGCCCTGCGGGGGGGGGGGGGGGGGAAGCCGAGCTCTCCGCCCAGCGCCGCGCCGGGCAGGGCAGGCGCGGAGGCCGCAGGCCCGCAGCTGCTGGCGAGGGCCTCCCTCTGGCGACCATGCCGCGCGCAGCGATGCGGTGGCCCGCGAGGGCAGCGAGCTCGTCCCCGACGGGGGGGCCTCCAGTGGTAGACGAGCGCGCTCCACGACTCGCAAAGCAGCTGCTCGCGAATGGCCTGGATCCGCCACAGGGGATGTGCGCTAGATTACATCAAAGCAGGCATGTGCTTTGGGGGCGTTTGCGAGCAGGCACTTTGCGAGTAGTGGAGCGCGCTCGGCGGACCAGGGAGGAGCGGCGCTGAAGGTGCGCGGCAGGGATCCTCCAGGCGGCGCCCTCAATCGGGCCCGGCTGCGCGGCGGCGCCTGCAGCGCCGGCCTGGTCGACCCGGCGCGGGCACTCTGGCGGGGCTGGCGGGCGCGGCTGCCACAGGAGGCGGCGCTCGACGCGCCCCATCTGCTGGGCGGGGGGGGGGGGCGGGTCGACAACAAAATAGGCCGCGACGTCCGGGGCATCGCCGATCCACGCACGGGCAGCTCGCTGGCGGTCACCCAGGCTGGCCACGCGCCACGCGGGGTGGGTCTGGTTCGCGCCCACGGCCGCGATGGACGCGCGGGAGGCCCGCAGGGGGCGAGCCTGATGTCGCGTCCCGGCGAGCGTCCGGTAGTTTCCAGGAAGGCCGCCCAGCTCTTAGATCTGGCGGGGCTGGCTCAGATGTCCGTGAGCCTCTTGGACCAGCGGGCGATCTCGGGGCCCGGGGTCGGGGAGCCAGAGGGGCGGCACTCCCGAGCTGGGCGCGCACGTCGCCGGGGAGCCGGGCGCCCCGCGGACCTCGCGGAGGAAGGCGGCAACGGCGATGGGCTGGTGCTTCCGAGGAGTGCGGGGGCCCGCGCCGACGCGCCGCGAAAGCGCACCCCTTCCGGGGGCCTCGACGCCGCCGGGCGGTCGGCACAGGACAGCCGCGCACGCTCGAGGGCCTCGGAGACGAGGCCAGCGCTCGCAGGGGCCGGCCGAACGCCTCGAGGGTGCCGCGAGCTGCCCGGAGGCCCCCGGCGACGCCGCCCCTGGCTGGGCCGGCGGGGGCCCGGGCCGCCGAGCGAGGGCCACGTCCGAGCGCCCAGCTGGCGCCTGAGAGCAGGACGCCAACGGGCGGGCACACGGCGTGGGCACGGGGCGGGGAGGGGCTGGGCGTAGGTCGGGCACGTCCCCCCACAGGCCGATTGTGCACGGAACAGGAAAGAAGGTCAAAGCATGCTCCAGACCAGCCAAGAACAGCAGAAGAGTCGTCCCGAGGCGATATTTTCTTACTACCTCTGAGTGCTCCTCCTGCAGAGGGACACTGAAGGGGCCCTGGGACACACAAATACATAGACACAAATAACAGGATGCCCCATATCTTCCCATACTTTCTGGGTCTCCGTCTTCCCCCCCACCTCCCAGAGTTTCCCAGATTTTCAAGGGAATCGACGATTCATTGTGTCTGTGTGTTTTTTCCCCTGTGGCACTTGAGGATGGTGTTTACGGAGCGCCGTTGACGGCAACACCACACCGCTCTTTCTCCAGATCTTCGCCTCCGGCTCCTGTCCAAGGCGTTCCTTTCCTGTGCAAGCTCTTCGGCACCGCCTGCACCCCGGCCCGCCCTCCGGCCGCCTGAGGCCCCGCCCGCCTGTGCCCTGTCTCCCCAACTAGAGCTGTGCGTGGCCCGCCTAGCTTTTACCGGAAGAGGTTCGCTCTCGCCCCGCAGACCAAAAAAAAGTGTGTTCAGGCTGAGGCTGAGGCTGTGACTGCGACTGCCGTTGCCGCTGCGACTGTCATCGCGAATGCGACTACGACTGCGAGAACAGCAGAATTCTACAACTGGATTTTCATCTGAAGCTTAAGGGGAATGCTTTCAAATATGCTTCTACACATCGCTGTTAGGTTGCTTTGCCGGGGTAATATGTTTTTTCCCCCTCCTGCAGAGGGACGCGCCCGACGTAAGGCGGGGGCGGCCCTGCCGCGTGGGGCGGGGCGGGGATGGGCGGCCCTGCCGCGGCACGCCCGGCGGCGGAGCGGGCTATCGCGCGGCGGGCGGGCGCCGCCGCGCGCTCCCCCCTGGCGTGAGGCCGGGGCCGGGCCCGGGAGAGGGGCCGGCTCGGGGGGCGGGGGCGGGAGAGCGAAGAATGGCATTAAGAGGGGGCCACATGCGAACCCTGACCCTACCCCCCACGATTTCTGAGAGGGAGGGTGGGGTTCACTTCGCACTACGCGACGGGCGGGCGTCGCCGCGCTCTCCCCGGGCGCCGCCGGGGCCTGGCCCGGGAGAGAGGCCGGCTCGGGGGGCCGGGGCGGGAGAGCGAAGAATTGGGGAGTCGAGCTCTGTGCACCGACGCTTGGCCCGGCCCTGCGCCGAAAGTCGCACAGGGGCGCGGATTCTGGTGCATGCGGGCTCCTGGTGTATAAATTGTTCGTCGTCGCTTCCCTGGGACATCGGGGAAGAAAATATACACCACACCACCCCAGCGTCGTCCTCGACCCTCAAGAAATCCTGGGATTGAAGAACAGCCAGCCACTGGTAATGTATATGTTCCAGTTTCCGAAGAATGCCGTAAACATAACAACTCGGAGGTCCGCGCGGACTTCTCGGATCGGCGCTGGACCCCCCCTCCCTGGCGCGCGGAGCGCGCCTGGGGCGGCGCCAGAGGCGCCGCCAGGGGGTCCAGCGCGGATCCAAGAAATCCGCGCGGACCTCCGAGTTGTTATGTTCATGTCAGTCTCCGTTCCCCTTCAGTAGAGGAGCAGCGCGGTGCCCGCGATGGTGCGCGGCGGCCAGGCGCTGGGGCAAAGCGATCCTGGAGAGTGGCGCGCACACGGCAGGCCTTGCGGTGGCACGGAGGTCGCGCGGAGTGTCGAGTCCTCGGGCGCCGGGGGGCCCTCGCATCCCTGGTCTGGCGGGGCGTCGGGGAGGCGGGGGCGCTTGGGCGCGGACGCAGCCGTCCCAGGGGGGGGGGGGGCGCGCGCGACGGCGCGGGACTGCCGCTGGCCGCCTTGGGTCGGGCATGTCCCCCTAGAGGCAGATTTGGGACGAGAAATGAAAAGGAATCAAAGAGAAGCCATACAATAGTTTTTGATATATCTATATTTTTTGAATTTTTGAATAAGAAATAATCAGGGCACAGCCTCGGCCTCGCCAGGCGGAGGCGCCACAGCTCGGCGCGGCAGCCCGAGCAGGCCCGCCGCAAGGCTGCGCCGCCCGTCCTGCCACGCTGCCGCCGGGTCGAGCCAGCGGGGGGCACCGCCCAGCAGCGCGAGGCCACTGCGTGAGGGTTCACCGCCCAGCACCGCGCAGCACCGCCCAGCACCGCCCAGCACCGCCCAGCAGCCAGCGGGGGTTCACGGCGCGGGTCACGAACACATTCCCAAAAGGGGGTCCAGCGGAAATGGGGGGGTGCAATATAGATCTGGGGCACCTGTATTGCAAGTGCACTGCGCCAGAGAATTGACTGCACTGTACTGCAAGTAACGTATTGCACGCGAAAATCCAGCAATACATTTGCGCCCCCGAATGTACTGCACGCCCCAGATGCATTGCAACCCCACAAATCTATTGCACCAAATCTATTGCACCACCCCCTTGTCGCTGGACCCCCTTTTGGGTCAACCCGAATCACGAACAGGCCGACTGGCCGGCCGCCGCCGAGGGCGCCTAGCAAGAACAAGGACTACACTCTGCTGGGGCAAACCCTGGGATCTTGGCGTCTCAATTTTTCGAGCCGGGCGGTTTCGCATTTCTTAGGGCCCGGGGACCCTCACAGATCGATCCAGCTCGAAAAATGGTTCAGAAAGATGGGGTCCAGGGCTCTGGTCGTGATTTTTTACCGACGCCGCAATGTGTGTTGCAACGTCGGATCTCAGGAAGAGTCGCAGCGGACCGCGGTGGGACCAGGGAGCGCCCCGAATCCGCTGCCAGATGTGACGCGGACTGGGATGGGAGTCCGAGTGCGGCGCGGGTCCTCGTCGCCGATCGTGGGGGCGAGCGGCTGGCGCAGGCTGGCGGGGAGGTGCCCGGCGGGCGTCGGGGCCAGCGGGGCGCCCGGCGACCCTGTCGGCGCCGACCGCGGCTACGGCGACCCAGCTCATGGGCGGCGGGGTGGCCGTCAGCACGGGGCCATCTGGCGGCGGGACGAGGTCGGCGCGGCCGCCCTCGTCCGCCAGGACAGAGTCTGCGCACCACCGACACTGCCAGATCGCGGCCGCCTCGCCACAGTAGATCTGGCGCTCGGCAGCGACCTCTGTACCTTGCCGGACTCGGCGGAGGCCCACCTCCCAGCCTGGCCGCGGTCGTCGCGGGGGCCGTGGCATGCCCTGCACTCGGCGCACCGATGCGCAGGGCGGGTCGAATGGAAGCTGTCGTCGGCAGTGAGAGGCGGGCGGAGCGGGAGCCCGTCGGTCGGGCCCTTGGGGGGGGGCACGGAGACGTGAAGCCCCGGAGCGGCCCGCGAACAATACGCTTAAGTCGGGCGTGTCTCCCTGCAGGGGGATTTGGGGCGAAAGATAAAAAGATGCTCAAAAAATGCCCCCCTCATGGGCAAAAAAATCGTCGCCTGACTATTTTTTAAACTATTTTTGGAATGTCCTCCTGTGGATGGACAGGCCCGACGTAACGACACGCGCGCGGGCCGTCGGCGTCCACGGCGGGCCGGGGCCGCGCAGCCCGCGCCGACGAGGCTGACGCACAGGCAGCAGCCCTCGGCAGGCGGCCGTACCCCGCTCGAGGGAGCCTGGAGGCCTCCACGGCGGCACCCCAAGCCGCCCTGCCGCTCCGTCCCTGGCCTCGCCGTCGGGCGCCTGGGCGCTGAAGAGGAGGCGTGGGTGACAGCTGGGGCGCGGGGGGGGACGTGCGTGCAAGCCTGGCAGGCCGCCTCCAGGGCCGTAGTGGCGTCGATGGCGTCCTCGCTGGTCCGTCCGGCTGGCGTGGGCGATGGAGCGACGCCAGGCGCGAGCCTATGGATGCTGTCGCCAGCGAGGAAGCAGAGCAGCGCCTCAAAGATGTCGGCGCAGTCAAACGGGTCGATGATGGGGGAGCGAGGTTGAAGGGGCCCTGGGATACACAAATACATAAACACAATTTAACAGGATTCCCCATATTTTCTCGTATTTTATAGATTGTTGTCTTCCACCCCACTTTCCCATATTTTCCCATACTTTCTGGGGAATCGACGATTAATTGTGTCTGTGTGTTTTAGTCCCTCCTGAGAGGTGGCGCTTCTGCCAGGGGTGGATGAGAAGCGACGTGATGAACCAGTGGATGTCCCGCGTGGCGTGTGTGGGCGGGTGGTCATGCCCACCGTGCCGCACCAGGCCTGTGGGGCGCCTGATCGCGACGGCCAGGCTGTCGGGAGCGGGGTGCGGGTGGCAGCGGCAGTCAAGAGCGTCGTCTGTGAGCCCCCGTGGGCACCAGCGGGGGGACCTGCGCGTGAGCACGCGCTTCCCCGAAGCGGGGGTCTGGCCGTATCCGGCCAGCGGGATGTTGCTGGCCTGCACGATGGAACGTGGGAGGGGGAGGACAGACGCTGGCCGGCGTCGGCGGCCGCAAGGCCGAGGGCCCTCGTCCAGGAATGACGGCCAGTGACAGAGGAAGGGTCCAGGTGGCAGGTGGGGTCGCGGCAGTACCCGCCGTGGCTCGAAGTCTTGAAGTCCCGCCCCCGACGTGCAGAGGGCGACTGACAGGGTTTCACGTGTGGGCGGCCGGCGACTGACAGGGTTCTACCTGTGGGCGTGGATGGTGGCGAGGGTGATGAGAACATCTCAGAGGATCAGTCCCCCAAGTCGATGCCGCACGTGGGCGCTGGTAGTGACAAAGCCTCCGCCACTGGCAGCTGCGGGAGTGGGTCGCGTTGTCGCAGCTCGCCTGAAGGCGGGCCCAGTTTGGGTGGGAGAGGGAGCGCTGGGCTTGCGCACGGCCGGGATGAGGTCCGCGCTCACCGGCGAGCGCGACCCACACACACACACACACACACACACACACACACACACACACACACACGCGCACACACACACACACGCACGCACGCACACGCACGCACGCATACACGCACACACACACACAAACACACACACACACACACATGCTCCTCCCGCTCCCCTGCTCATGTTGCTGTATCATCCTCGTCCTCCTCCTTCTCGTCCTCCTCCTTCTCCTCGTCCTCCTCCTCCTTCTCCTCCTCCTTCTCCCTCATTATCATCATCATCATCATCCTGCTCATCGTCTTGCTCATCCACAACCTCCTCCTCCTCCTCCTTCTCCTCTTCCTTCTCCTCCTCAACTTCCTCCTCCTCCTCTGCATTGTGCACAGCCCCCTTTTTCTGATTGCGCACACACGATAAAGGGGTCCTTTTGGGGGCCCCAGGTCCTCTATTAAACGGGTCAGCGGATAGAAGGGATGAGTTGGGGGGGGATAGGATGTCAGCTGTGGCGCGAGAGCGCACCTGGCTTGTCCCCAGCCCCTGTCCCCCCCCCTCCTCCCTCCTCCTTCTCCCCAATCACTGCCCCTCATCCCTCATCCTGCTTCTCCCCAATCCCTGCCCCCTGATCCCTCCTCCCTCCTCCTCCTCCTCCTCCCCCTCCTCCCTCCTCCCTCTCCCCAATCCCTGCCCCCTCCCACCCCTCCTCCTCCGTCCTCCTGACCCTCCCCCCCCCCGCCGGCTCCGCTCCTCCGCCGGCCCCTCCCTCGCGGCGAGAGAGCGAGCGCGCGCGCGCGGGGGGGGGGGCGGCCTCGACTGGATCCTGATCTTGCCCTTGCGCCGCGCGGGGCGCTCCTCGCCAGCGCCGCCCGCCTCGCGCGTGCGCGCGCGGAGCGCGGCGCCTCTCCGCGCCTCCGCATGAACGTCGCCCGTTCTGCTCCTGCACCTGATCCTGCTCCTCTACCTCCTCCCCCTCCTCCTCCTTCTACTCCTCCTCCTCCTCCTCCTCCTCCTCCGCCTCCGCCTCCTCCTCCTCCTCCTCCTCCTCCTTCTCCTCCTCCATTCCCCTTCCTTATACATACCTCCCCCCTGCCGCGCCCTCAGTCAGACGTGCTGTAGGGCGCGCCGGGCATTGCGCCTGAGATTTCCTCACCAGCTACAAACCTGAAGACTGCAATATGCAACAGCTTCACGGATTGAGGGCGGGCCGTTTTCGACATGAAGCTCTGGCCCTAACGCCGCGCACATTCGTCCTCAAAGTGCGCAAAAATTTCAAGGATGGAGGGCAGTTCCGTCTCAAACTGTGGCTCTCGCCTTAGCGCCGCGCGCATTCGTCTTAAAAGCTTGCAACAAGTTCAAGGACTTGCAGGGTCGAAGCCCCAGGAATGATGCTCTGGCACGACTTAGGGTTGTCTGGTTGCAACGCAGTCGCGTTGGTTCGCGGTGTTTGAAGTCCCAGGAACGGTGACACTACAGTCACACTGATTCGCGGCATTGAAGTCCAAGGGGTAGTGTTTTGGCACGACTGAGGATTCTCAAACGCTTGTTTTTCAAAAAAACACTTCCCACAATGAAAACAAATTCTTGTGGGGACCTGTGAAGTGGGAACTTGGAGGGGGGGTGCAACATCTTTCATGCGTCTTGGGTTTACACTGGTCATCCTCCTCCTCATCATCCGCCGCCGTGGCTAGGATCGGAGACTCATCCAATAAGCGCCTTTATATTTTTACCTACTGCTCCCCCTCTTGCTCCTCCTCCAGCCTGCTGGTCCTGGGGCACTCCGTGCTCCCCCACCTCCTCCAGCACCTCATCGCCCTTCCCCTTCCATCCTCATCGTCATCATCATCATCATCATCATCATCATCATCATCATCATCATCATCATCATCATCATCATCATCATCATCGTCATCATCATCGTCATCATCATCATCATCATCATCATCATCATCATCATCATCAGCATCATCATCATCGTCGTCATCAGTAGCATCATCATCATCATCATCATCATCACAAGCATCATTATCACCATCATCATCAGCATCATCATCGTCATCAGCATCACCATCAGCATCAACATCGGCATCAGCAACATCATCAGCTCCTCGTCATCACCCCCTGAACTATCGGCACAATCATCATCAGCATCGTCATCATCATCATCATCATCATCATCATCATCATCAGCATCATCATCAGCAGCATCATCATCATCTGCATCAGCATCAGCCTCAGCATCAGCATCTGCATGATAATCATCATCATCATCAGCATCATCATCATCATCATAATCATCATCATCAGCATCATCATAGTCGCCATCGTCATGGTCATCGCCATCGTCATTATCAGCAGCAGCATCATCATCATCCTCAGCATCGTCATCATCATCGTCATCAGCATCAATACTATCATCATCAGCAGCATCATCCACATCCACATCACATCCGCATTATCTTCACCCTCATCATCAGCATCAGCGTTATCATCAGCAGCATCATCATCAACGTCACCATAATCGTCATCGTTCTCGTCTTCGTCACCACTATCATCATCGCCACGATGAGTATCATTACCACTATCATCCCCATTCCTGCCCCCCGCCCCCACTTCATCCTGGCGTCCTCCTCCTCATCCTCGCATCATTCTCATCATCCTCACTATCTTCTGGACGCTCACGCTGAGTCGTGCAACAATCCAACAGTCCGTGCCACCAGGAAAAAGATATCGGGACTGTGAACAAGGTCCATGAATCACACAGAGGAAGGACGAGATGAGCGGCAGCTCAAATACCCTGCCCCCCCCCCTAACCACCAGTGTATGAAGTCCTTCCGCGCGAGCCATTGAACAACGGCCGAAGACGGCCATCCCACACATAGAGCAGGGGGCAGGCGAGTAGAACACTGCATAGCATAAATTACAGCGCTAAGAGAGCCGCGTCTGTTTCTGCCAGCAGGGTCCCACGAGGCTCCAAGAGAGGCACCAAGGAGGAAGGCTACAAGGGCACCCATCAGGAAGGCCCCCCTAGGAAGAGGCTCCCCAGGGGCCTCAAAGGGTCATCCAAGAGGCCCTCAGGGGCATCCTAGAGGCCTCGTTCATGACCCAGGCACGGTGGCGGGATAGACCGAGGGCCACTAGACAGTATAGGGTTGAGTGCTTGGGAACGCACGATCTTTTGATCCTCTGCAACACACAGGGGGCATCCTGCACTCGCAGAGCGAGGCGGGCGCGCTGGCCCAGCCCAAGCCCAGACAAGAGCGAATGCCCCGAGCAGAGCCCGACGCTGCTGAGTGAGGGGCCTGCCTTTCCGCCAGCTCGCAGGCGCAACGACCATTTTTTTGTTTTTTCCTATATCTTTCTGAATGACGTCGCTCCGAGATGTCCGTCAGTAGGTGCGGTGGCGAGAGTCACACTCGTGCAGCCGTTTTGCGAAATCGCCCTTAGACCAGCCATTCGTGACAGCCTCATCGCAGGCGCAACGACCATGGGACCAAAACAATCGCTCTTTGAGACCGAATCGCGGGCGGCATGCGCAAACCATGCCGCCACCGCGCCACGGCTCACTGATTACGTTGGCCCCCGCACTGCGTTCGACGCTGCCATCGCAGCCGCTGCTCGTGCTGCCGTTGCACGGAAATTGCTTGGCGAGGCTGGACGACCGAAGCCAGCCGGAGCGGGCGCAAGCAGGTGGAAGAGCAGATCGCCGCACGATCGGGCCAGTGAAGGGACGACAACAACGACGACGACGACGACGACCACGACGACCACGACCAAGACGAACACGACGACGAAGACGACGACGACAAGAACGACAAGAACGACGACAAGAACGACGACAAGAACGACGACGACGACGACGATGACGACGACGACGACGACGACGACGACGACGACGACGACCACGGCAAGAACGACGCCGACGATGTCGGCAGGAAAGCCGACAACGACGACCATAACGACGATGACGATGACGACGACGACGACAACGACGACGACGACGACGACGACGACAACGACGGCGAAGGCGACGCGACGAAAACGACAAGCACTACAACGACGCCGAAAACCACGAAACTTATGAAAACGGCGGGCGGGCGCAAGCAGGTGGCCGGGACGACGACGACGAGGACGACGACGCCAACGACGAGGACGCCAGCGACCACGTCGACAACGATGACAACAACGACGACGACGACGACGACGAGGACGACGAGGACGACGACGACGACGACGAGGACGACGACGACGACGACGACGAAGACCACGACGACGACGACGACGACGACGACGACGACGACGACGCCGACGACGACGTCGATAACGACGACGACAACGACGACGACGACGACGACGACGACGACGACGACGACGACCCCGACGTCGACGGAGACGGCGACGGCGCCGACGGCGGCGGCGGCGGCCGGCGCGCCTTCGGCAGCGCCGGCAAGTCGCCCAGGAGGGAGCGCGCTTGGGCCAGCTCGGCCTACCCCCCTCGAGGGGAGGGGGCAGGAGGTTGGAGGAATGAGGGTCGAGGATCGAGGACCGAGGAGGACTAGGAGGAGGAGGAGGAGGACGACGACGAGGAGGAGGACGAGGAGGAGGACGAGGTGGAGGAGGAGGAGGAAGATGAGGAAGAGGAAGGGGAAGAGGAGGAGGAGGAGGAGGAGGAGGAGGAGCACGGCTGCGGCTCGACTCGGAAAACTGGCCAAGATGAACCCCGGGAGGGGTCCAGGTGATCTTGAGCGGCTGTCGGGGATCAAGGATCGAGGCTCTGGGCTCGGGGGTCGAGGATCGAGGATCTGGGATAGAGGGTTGAGGAACGAGGGTCGAGGATCGAGGGCAGGGCAGAAGACGACGACGACGACGACGACGACGACGACGACGACGACGACGACGACGACCGACGACGACGACCGACGACGACGACCGACGACGAGGACGACGACGACGACGAGGACGACGACGACGAGGACGACGACGACGACGACGACGACGACGACGACGACGACGACGACGACGACGACGGACAACGACGACGACGACGACGACGACGACGACGACGACGACGAGGGCCCCCTCGAGGGCGGGCAGGGTGGCCGAGCGTCAGAGATCGAGATTCGAGGCTCGAGGAGCGGGGCCTTCGCCTCGGAGGTCTCTGGGGAGTCTCCGGGGCCTGTCGCCCGAGGAGGAGGAGGAGGAGGAGGAGGAGGAGGACGAGGAGGAGGACGAGGAGAACGAGGAGGACGGGGAGGACGAGGAGGACGAGGAGGAGGAAGAGCAGGGGGAGGACGAGGAGGAGGACGGGGAGGAGGAGGAGGAGGAGGAGGAGGAGGAGGAGGACGAGGACGAGGAGGACGAGGAGGACGAGGAGGAGGAAGAGGAGGAGGAGGAGGAGGAGGGCGGCTCGGAAAAGTTGCCAAGATGAACCCTGGGAGGGGACCAGGTGATGCTTGAGCGGCTGTCGGGGATCAAAGATCGAGGCTCGAGGTTCGAGAATCGATGATCAAGATGTCTGAATACTGTTCGCTCTTTCTGTCGGCCTCCAAAACGCCTACCTAGAAGGGTCCCAGGGTCAGTTTTGAAAGGACAGCAGGAGGAGGAGGAGGAGGAGGACGGGGACGAGGAAGGAAGAGGAAGAGGAATGAGGAGAGCGAGGAGGGAGGCGGGGGATGAAGAAGGAGAGGGAGAAGGAGGAGAAGGGGGATAAGGGAGGAGGGAGGAGGACGGAGGAGGGAAAAGGATGAGGAAAGGAAGAGGAAGAGCGGAGGAGAGGTAAGATTGGACTCGGCATTCAGAGCCAAGTCGTAGCAGTGCTGAGTAGACGCTGGCGTGTCGCGCACTACTGGAGAACGCTGGCGTGTCACATTGCGCTCGCCAACGCAATCGGCATTCGGTGAAAATCTGCAAGTCCACTCACGCCGATGCCAGGGCGGACAGGAGGAGTGAAAGGAGGGAGGGCAGGAAGGGGACGGGGAAAGAGAGGAAGAGGAGGGACAGACGAAGGGGAGGGTGGGCGAACCTGGCCTCATCTTCCCCCTCCTCATCCGCCCTCGTCCTCCCGCCCCCTTGTCCTCCTCGTCGTTCTCGTTCACATCCTTCTCCTCCTCATCTTCAGCGCCATTATCATCATCACAACAGTGTGCGGGATGGGCACTGCTCTAATGGCGATTGATTCTACAACATGGGATGGCGCTTTGCTCGGCGCATGCTGCAATGCCAGCACTGATACTTCGGCGACAGCACTGCTAGCCCCACGACGTAAACTGCACGCGACCAGCAATGCGCTGGCAACTGCTTCTCCCGCACGGCCGACTCTAGAAAGTCTGAAGACGGCAGCATCGGATCGACCCCCTTGGGCAGATGAACCAAGAAACAGCAAGCCCACAACTTGTTGGTCGCAGCGGCGCGGATCCACGCTGCGGACGGAGGCAGCCGAGGGAGACCACGGGGCCGAAGTGAGCGAGCACAGCAGACGAGGAAGGCGCGGACGCGCGGGAGGATGCGGGGGGCGATGCGCGCCCAAGGCACGAAGTCCCTGCACGTGCAGACGACGCGCAGACCTCCGGAGGTCCGCGCGGACCTCCGAGAG